AACTGGGGTGGCTGGAGATGTTCTACCCTGGTCCCCATTATCTGCCAGTCCCTCTGCTCTTTACTTTCGGATACACTCACATAACCACGTGAACTGATGGTAGCCTGTGCCAACAACAGACTCGCCCCGCTGAGAGTGACGGACGTGCACACCTAGCCTGTTACAGCAGGCCGGACATGCATGCACAGTGGGATGCTCTGTCTCAGCTCAGGGCTGGAAGGCTCTTACAATGCCCTGACTTGCTTTCCTTGAGATTCTAGGAGCTATTTGCAAGCTTCCTTGCCTTTCACATCGGTATCAGGTGGCTGGAACAGGAGGCTTTGCTATCACCTTCTTGCTGAGCTTGTGTTCTGTCAGAGATCGGTTTTGTGTGACAGCACTGTCTTTCTGTGCCCTCCCCTTCCCCGCTCTCCTCCAGTTCATAGTGGAGTGTCATGGGAACACCCTCCTGCCCCAGTTCCTTGGCATGTACCGGCTCACCGTGGATGGAGTGGAAACCTACATGGTGGTTACCAGAAACGTGTTTAGTCACAGGCTGACTGTGCACCGGAAATATGACCTGAAGGTGAGGGTTTGAGGGCAGTTGTGGAGCTGAGAGCTCCTTTTCCTGGAGGGTGGGAGTTGGTCTTTGTAACACCGACTTGACAAGGTCCTGGGTGTTGCTTTTTGTTCAGGGGATTAGGTTTTGGGGGCTCTGGATGGGGCTTCACTTGAGGCTCAAATGTTGTTCCATTCCCCCATTCCAAGTGGCCTACGCTACACCAGGGGATCTGTAAGTCTATCTCAGGCATGAAAAAGTTTGAGCACTGGTTTTAAAAATACTTTCATTATTTTTCTGCATGGAGGAATTAAAATGGCGTCTATGAATTCTTCAGGAATATGACACATAGTGCAGCAATTTTCTTTTCTTTCTTCTTTTATCAGGGCTCAACAGTATCCAGGGAAGCAAGCGATAAAGAAAAGGTATGGATCATTCCTGGCCAGCCTTTCCTTTCTCCTGATGCTTGGAAGCAGATGGGATCCAACTGACTTCCCTTTTCCAAAGGGGTATTGAGCAGGGCCCTGAGGGATAACCTGTTTCTGTCCCACCTTCCAGGCTGTGCCCAGTGACTGCTCAGGAAGAGATGGTGCAGATCTGGTGCTGCCCTGCCCTGCTCTGTTTTGTTGACACTATCAGGAGTGGGGGGAACTTCTTGGGGGACAATCCCACAAGTGCCAAAACCCATGTTAATGCAAAGGTGTCTTTATGGAAGGATTTCTTCATAGTACTCTCTGCGTACTGAACTGAGTCAAGTCAGCAGTTAGCTTTTGCAACAGATGCTTTTATAAACCACAGCAGCTCCTCTCAGATTATTGGCATATTTCAGCATGTTTGAAGGTTTGGTTTCTGCTGCTGTTAGGAGAACGTAAGACTAAGAATCCTGCCCCTGCAAAATTTTGGCTGTGATGCTACCGTGAAAAGTCATGTTGAAATCACAGTAGTAACTCATGGTACTACATGTTTTGCATGTGCACATGGGATTTTCAGGTTTGGGACTGCAGAGTAAGTCTACTCCGGCGTGCCCTAAAATTAGGTCTCTGGCATGAGCCAAGGAACTCCCATTTACACCGAATCCTCTGGTGTCAAGGCACGGCTTCATCGTGCCCAAGCATCCCCAGCTTGGTGGCTGTTGAGTCTCTGGCTTTTTCTGCTTATGCAGTTTGTCTCAGACCATTCATATTAAATCTATATAAAGCCACCACACGCTCATGTATCATTCTGAGAACAAAATAATTTAATTCCCAGTTGCACAAAGGGGTTGTATGTTCTTTATATCCCTGAGAAATGCCCGGGGCCTGCTGCAAGCAGATTCCTGAAAAAGCAGTGGTTTTAATTTTTTCCTCAAGTCTTTAGGGAGAGAAGCATTTTTTTTCGAGCCTTCACCACTTCCCTCCCCCCCAGTCAGAAGCCAACAAAATGCATTTCTTTTCTATTCTTGGAGCTGGTTGTGTCAGGAATAGTGTGGCCAGCAGGGATCGTCCCCCTGTACTCGGCTCTGGTGAGGCTGCACCTCAAATTTTGTGTTTGGTTTTGGGCCCCTCAGTACAAGAAGGACATTGAGGTGCTGGAGCGTGTCCAGAGAAGGGCAGCGAGGCTGGTGAAGGGTCTGGAGCACGAATCTTATGAGAAGCAGCTGAGGGAACTGGGGCTGTTCAGTCTGGAGAAAACAAGGCTGAGGGGAGACCTTATCACTCTCTACAACTGCCTGAAGAGAGGTTGTAGCTAGGTGGGGGTCGGAAACAGCAAGGAGTGATAGAAAAATAGGAAACAGCCTCCATTTGCGCCAGGGGAGGTTTAGATTGGACATTAGAAAAAATTTCTTCACTGAAAGGGTTGTCAAGCACTGGAACAGGCTGCCCAGGGAAGTGGTGGAGTCCCCATCCCCAGACATATTTAGAAGGTGTGTAGATGTGGTGCTTAGGGCCACGGTTTAGTGGTGGACTTGGCAGGGCTAGGTTAACAGTTGGACTCTGATCTTACAGGTCTTTTCCAACCTAAACGATTCTATGATTTTATGATTCTATCTGGCTGGAGTCCAGCTGTCAAGCTTTCAGCCTGTAGCACATCTTCCCGTCAGTCTTTAAAGTTGAGTTGCTCTCTGCATCTCCTTTCTGTTTCCCAGTAGGTACAGCTCAGCCCACAGATTCATTGACAAATATTGTGCTCTGCCTGGTGCCGTTTTCACGCTTAGTGGACACGATGAGCCACTTCACCTTATAAACAGGCAAAAGATCCTGGTGCAAGCCCACAGTCCATCAGAGTCTCTGTGCAATCAACATCTTGCTAATGGATCAGTGGGGTTTGGAGAATTTGACACAGGCTTTTTGTTGCAGGCCAAGGATCTACCAACGTTCAAGGACAACGACTTCTTGAATGAGGGTCAAAAGCTGCATGTTGGAGAAGAGAGTAAAAAGAACTTCCTTGAAAAGCTGAAGCGGGACGTGGAGGTAGAGTTTCCTGGGGGACACCATTTACTCTGTCTCCCATAACTGGATCCTCGCTGTGGCCTCTGGCTCAAGGGCTGCAGTAGTGACTGAAAAGCAAGTTGTTCCTGGATCAGTCAAGCAATTACAGTCAGGGTTGTGCTGGTAGCAGTGGGCATGTGAGCTCATGTGTAGATTCCCTGGTGTCTAGCAAGGGTTTAGCTCTCGCTACAGCCCTTTCTATTCAGGGAGATACTGGCAGGGTAGGATGGAGGATTTCTCATTCCACATGAATGCTCTTGTTCTCACTCATCTCCTTCTCTCAGTTTTTAGCTCAGCTGAAGATTATGGACTACAGCTTGCTGGTTGGGATCCACGATGTTGACCGAGCAGAGCAGGAAGAGATGGAAGTGGAGGATCGGGCAGAGGATGAGGAGTGTGAGAACGACGGTCTCGGAGGCAACCCCATTTCCTCCTATGGCACACCCCCTGACAGCCCTGGCAATCTCCTCAACTACCCTCGCTTCTTTGGACCTGGAGAGTTCGACCCTTCTGTCGACGTCTATGCCATGAAAAGCCACGAAAGTGAGTATCATGGAGTATTGCCTGGAAGAAGGTCTGGAAGGGCAGTGGAGGTGTCCTGTGCTCTGGCTGGGCTAAATGGAGTGGAAGAACTGTCCACAGAGAGAGAGAGAGAGAGAGACACCGTGCCAGGTGTCTCTCCTTTGCTGTGCAGTCCCTCATTGTGGATGGTGTGAGTTGGAATGGGTAGCCGTGATGCTTGGAGAGTAGTGGCATGTTCAGAGAGCATGTGGGCCTCTGGTGTGCTGTTTCCAGTCGTTTTCTTCTGCCCTTCTACAGCCTCCAGCTGCCTTGCTTTCTTTGCTAGTTGCATCAAAACAGTTCTGCTGTGTATTTCATAAGGAGTGGGGTGCAGCTGGGCTTTGCTCACAGCTCAGGGTGTGCTAGCGACTCTCTTGCCTTGCTAGGTGCCCCCAAGAAGGAAGTGTACTTCATGGCCATTATAGACATTCTTACGCCGTACGATGCGAAGAAGAAAGCTGCACATGCTGCCAAAACAGTGAAACATGGGGTAAGCAGCCTACCACCCGCAGGGAGGATGGGCTTTGGGGCTTCTGCTTCGCCTGCATGCCTGCGTGTGTATGTGTCATGTCTCCTGACACTGATTTTTCTACCAGTATGGAAATTCTCCAGTGATCCCGTGCCCAAGAACAGCTCTTCCCTCACTTACTGTCTCCTCAGACTGTCTTGGAAAGGCTTTCCCTCTGGTTGGTTGGAGATGAGTTGCATTTACGTCCCAGTTTGGGAGGTGCTTGATTTGCCTGGTGTGGCACTAACAGCCTCACAGAGCAGGAACAGACTGGCTGCAGGGAGACGTATTACCCTGCCCCCTTCCTGGGGCCAGTCCTGTTCCCTGGCAGCAATCCTGAACTTCCCAAAAGGGCTTGAAAAAAGCCCAGGTTAGCGGGACATAGAGTTTTTCACGCTCCTTCCAAATCTGCTCTAAACCATGAGGGAACAAATCCAATGCTGTGACTCAGTGGTCAGTAGAAGATCCAGCTGGAGCTAAAATCAGTTTCCTTGGGGATCTCTCTAGACCTCTCTAGACGCTGTTTTCCCTAGAACTGGCAGGTGGTTACGGGTCTTTCCCAGCAGAGACAGACTGTGCTGACATGATTTCTCCCTGCTGTCCTCCATCTTCCACCCTTTGCAGTGCCACGGGGTCTGCCCTTTGAGGAGGGTGTTGTGACTTCTCTCTCCTCTCTGCCTTGCAGGCTGGGGCAGAGATCTCCACCGTGAACCCAGAGCAGTACTCTAAACGCTTCAATGAATTTATCTCCAATATCCTGACATAGTCGTCTTCAGCCTTCAGCGAAGCAATGAAGAGGGGCTACTTCCAAACAGAGAATGCAGCCTGTGACACTAAACAGACACTGTAGCAGCATGTGGGGTGTGCATGTGGGTGTGAGTGTGTGTGTGCGTGTGCGCAAGTGAGTGTGTGTCACTGTGTGACTTAAGAGAAAACTAATTCTAGGTGCACCCTCCAACAGTCCACTTAACCCAGGTGGAAAAGTGGGTTTTTATGTTACAGAAGTGCCCAGACATAGATTTGAGGGCTTTTTAAAACAAGAAAAGTGCATTGTTTCAGCACTGCTCTTTCTAATGACATTTTTTCCTCTCTGATCAAGAAAATCCCATAGGGATATGATATGTGGCACTGTATAAAAGGGGTCGCTCTAGGTTACGTTCAGTGAGAATGAAGCAGTGCCTGATTCCACAAACTACTACTTTTATTGGACTGTCTATACCAGAAAGACATACAAGCCCTTGTATTTCCCTCTTGGTAGGAATTGGAAGGAAAATAGCTCACCATTTCAAGGATGGAAAATATTACCGTGATAAGGAGGAGTCGCTGAACTTTAGGTAAATTCAGACTGGGACACTTTATATTTTTTTTGGTTAATTTAAGTAACAAAAACTTTTTTTGTAACTGCACTTGATTTACAAGAAAGACGAGGGAAATGAACATCTACCAAAGATGATCGCTTAAGAAGGTGTAACTCCTAGAACCTAAAGAAGCCAGTGTGAGAAGTAGTGGAGGCATTGAACAACCTCAGATAATAATGTGCTCGGACCCATTGTGCTTTAAATTGGCCAGCTATGAAGATTTCATAAAAGTGAAAAAAAAGAAAAAAAGGCATTTTGTACCTGTAGCTACAAGATAGTATTTGACTATCTGGAACGTTTCCCTGTCGCGCCTCAGTCAGGAATTGCCATGTTTCTTAGATTACAGCTTCACATCGCAGTTCTGCCAGTGTTAATCTAGCTAATGTTCAGTCTTCCTTACTTGCCCGATCTGCAACAGGTACTTGAATTTGTTTCCTGACAGAGGTTCTTTGGTTAGTTGGTTTATTTTTTAAATGGCAATGTGACTTGCACACGAAGGAATTGGACTCGCTGCCAGTGGGGAGTGCTGGGAGCTGTGACTGTGGAGCAAGTTCCACTGCTCAAGAGGACTCGGGACTTGAGCTGTGATTGTTTTTACTCTTCTCTGCTCCATGCCCCTCTCTAGAGTGACAGTCAAGGAGTGGAAATGTTTGAACACTTGCGCCAGATTATTTACCCCCGCTAAGGAATGGGAACTGATTTGCGTGACTGAATAACGTCCTGTTTTGTCTCCAGAATGCTTGTAATATTTTTCACAGCCAAGCTTGTCAGACTTGCTTTGGGTTTTGTTAATTCTGCTGCACAACGGTTACAGATCTTTTGGTTCTTTTTTTGATTTTCTTTTTAAGCAGGATTTAACGTTTTGAACAAACCTCTTGCAGTTGAAACATGTTGCTTATCTGCCTTGAAACTGTTTTCACATATGCCTTTGTTTCGGGAATAAGCTGTTTCGAATGTCTGTCCTGTGCTGTAACGCGTGCTACAGTTCGCTGTGTGGAATTCGGTCCTTTTGAGAGATAACTGGTGCTCATCACATCCTGGTAATTTCCCTAGACTAACGCTAGCTCTGGTCTGGATTCTGAATGTGGGCTTGCGGTTTTTTTGTGTTCGCACCCACATTCGTGATGTGAATCCCACAGGTCTCAACTTTGAAGGGGAAAAAAGGGGGCTAAAGTTTCAGCCCAGAAGAGTGCACTGTAAATAAGTCTTTAAGAAATCAGAAAAATTAGTATTAGGGGTCATAATGGGAGATGAATCTTTTTATTCATTCATGGGTCATTCTCTTTGACACGGGACAAATTTCTCCTGCCACTGTAGCCCAGTCCCTGTTCTGTGTGGTGTGGGGGTAACACACCGCTGTCTGAGAGGCTGAAGAGTCTCACGTCTTAAGGTGTGTAGCTGGAAAAGCCACAAAACAAATGCAGCTATGAGAACACTTTGAAAAAGGGAGGACTTCGAGAGTATCATCAGCTTAGTTTTGTGGGCATTATATCGGTTGCTTTTCTCTTAAACAATGAGCACTTAAGTTTACTATCAACTAGAAATTAAATACCAATCACTTTTTGTTCTTGACAGTTTTAAAAATCTGCATTGAATCTGCAACTTTGGCCTGGTAAGTTTGCCATTCTCCTTTTGGGAAACTACCTTGTACCTCTGAAGCTGTTTAAATTGTGTATTAAAAAAAGCAGAGAAAAAGGGGGGGAGGAAGAGAGAAGGAAATTTGTGAACCACAGACATCCTGCAATGAGACACTACAAAACAAACAACCCAAAGAAAGTAGAAGAATGAAGCTTGCATAGCTAGGAGCAATAGCCTTGCTCACTGAATTTAATAAACAGGAATAAAATTAAAATGCAGTTAGATCTGCAGCGGTCTTTACAGTAGTCATGATACTAAGGGCTTAAGAGCAGTTAACTGTATTTTCTTATTCCCCTCCAGACAAACTCCTGTTAGAATTAAATTGGCTGTCTCTGGCTCAAGTGACGTGAACGCCCCATAAACTCTATTCACTTTAGCACTTCCCCAATTCTGCCACTTCTGTCAAGTTGCCATACTATGTGTATTAAAGTAATTAAATGCAATCTTCTCACTTAATGATGTATTACCCAGGTATGTAACTTTGTTTAACATAAGCATTTTGTATATTGTTTACATTTTGAGAGGTAGCATTATGTTAAAAATGCTAATTTTTGTTTCTAGACAGTATTTTTATTACCAGAATAAGAAGTGAAGCTGCAAATATTTGATTTGTTTTTAAAAGGGACTTTTGTTTTTGTTGTTTTGTTTTGGTTTTTTTAATCTTGTTTTAGGTCACTTTTTTAACTCGAGTATTTAAAAGGAGAACCCAGCCCTTTCAATTCTGGTTTTACAACTGCTTGTGCTAGTTTGTTGTCTGTTTCTGGTGTGAATTTAGTTCTAGTTTGCTGAATGTAGATATTTCTGTCTGTAGCATGTACCCTGTGAAACACTTCACACTGAAATGCGTTTGACTGAAAACCGCCCTGGGCTGAAAGACTTGCAGTAGGTAGACAGATCGCTCGGATCCTGGCCAGAGTGCAGGATTTTTCAAGAAATTGCAGTGCAATTCTTTGGGCAACTGGAGTTTCAAAAAGAAAAAAAAAAATGTGTTGTGCAGTGTCTCCAGTGCCCAAAAGCAGGGTGAGTTTGTGTCAGAAGCGAGCTGTGGGATCCGTAGCCCGGCCTGTACCGAGGGTCTCTCTGTTTCTGAACACGGGCCTGATCTGTCAAAATTTAAAAACTAAAAACTGCTTTGAACCTAGAACTTACATCTTCCCTGCTGAGATAGCTCCTACAGCGTAAATAGGAGTGGGAGAGCAAAAGCAGAGCGCGGAGTTGTAGTTTGGGTGCTGTTCTGCCCCAACAGCGCAATAAAAATCGATGGAGAACATCTTGGGTCACCCTTTAATGGGACCCACGTGTGGCGGAGGTACCAGGCAGCACCCGCCTGTGTGTCAGCTTTGGTGTCAGCGCTGGGAAAGGGCCTGGCATTTGCCGCATTCAAGAGGAATGTCAGCAGGAGTTCACTTCTCACAGCCAGGAGCGGTGGGATCCTTCCCTCTGGTCTTGTACACGCCTCCGATTGACCTGGTTTTAATTATACAAGCCATAATCGTGAAATTCAGCACGGGGAAGACTTCTGGGGTAGTAGGTGACTCCAGGTTTCCTGCATAAATGAGGCTGTACTCCCACATCCGAGAATCCTCTTTTTGAATTGGATTATGATAATCGGCAAGAACACTAAAACACTTGAGTCTTACTTCCTTTTCTGGGAGGAAACTCCTGCTTTCCCCTCCAGAGCGCTGCCACAGATGCCTTCAGCGGGGATGTCAGCTGGGGACTCGCCTCTTAGCCCAGGAAAGGCACAGAGTGAGGTTGTGTTGTAGTCGCGGGCCATGTTTGGCAGGGGTTGTGTCTCAGCCGCGCGGACGGACGCCGCCCAGTCCTGTGACTACCATGCAGTCTTTAGATGCCTCCCTTCAAGCTGCACGGAGGTCAAAGTGTTTAACCTCGAGGTGGTACAAACCTTTCAGAAGTTGGTGTGCGTGTCCTAAACTTGGTTTGCAACACTGCGTAACCGATCTGAGACGGATCGTCCTCAAAATAGCTCCAAGAACAGGACAGCTATCCTCTCCCGTGTCTTAATGCCCCGTTTCAGGTTTGCCGATCAACTTTCCCTATTCTGCAGAGCCATTCTCCAGTGTCCGTATCCGCCACTACTGATTTTCCTTGCTCTTTGAAATGAATATAATGTGTAATAGCGATGGCGAAGCTTGGGGAGCCAACTGCTGGTCATCCATCATTTGGAGTGGTTTCAGTTTTCACCACTCGGAAGTTGTGCCGGTCTTTGTTCAGCTGCGCGATGCTGAACACAGCTGGGTTTTGTGTCAAGCAAGTGTATTACACACAGGTCACAAGGGTGGGCAGGGCTAATCAGTGCAACTGAAAAAATGTGAATAAATTAAGTTTAATCTAAAACTAAAAAAAAAAGCATTCTAGGTTTTTTCACTGCTGTTTTTTAAATAGAAATTCTAAGTCCTCTGTGCTTGTCTGTTTGCTAGGAGCAGTTTGAGACACTGTTACTGTTTTGAAATGCATGCATGTTACGAGATGAGTCTCCAACCAGAGAAAAATAAAATTAAAACTTTGTGTACATCTGCTCCTTACTGCTGTCCTCTTTAAAGTGCTCTAGTGATCAACTCTCAGTCCATGAGGTATGTGGTCGTTTTCAGTTCTAGATTAACCACAGCTGGAAAAGTCTTTTTATACGTGCCTGTAAAATGGGGGTTTTAAGGAAGAACTGATTTTACCAAGTCCTGGATATGAGAACAAATTAGATGTGACAGGAAAAGCTAACACTGCCATGCTGTCTGAAGGAGATGCTGCTGAC